CGCGATAAATCTCTTTTGCATGCAAACAACTGGCGAATTTAACATGGCGATGTTCTTGGAATTGTCAATTGCCCCCCACTGCATCGCTTTTTCAATAGTTCCGAAGTAGTCCTAAATTGTGTAGTTCCGAACCAGTTCTAAAATCGGCAGACGAAAGAAAAAAGTATCATGATTTTTCAATCTTTTCGGTTCTTCCGTGTGTGCGATTTTAAACTATATTTTCAAAGAAATGTTTTTTCAATTTGAAATTAAATTTGGTTGAATGATTTTAAGAAATGTACGTTTACATACCTTTGGCTGTAGCTGAATTTGCAAGATGTTAAAATGTTGACACAAATTTTGGTTTTGTATTACTAAGCTATGAAAAAGCGTCTACGAAGTGCGGAATAGAAGCGCTAGTCCGCGGTTTCCCTGCAGGGATGTGTCGCACACAACAAAAGGCATACCCAATCATTAATGTTATGTCGCATACGACGAAATATACATATGCACAAAAACTAAGGGAGGTATAAACTAGTAATTTTTAGCAAAAAAAAACCGACTTCAACTCCCATATAAAAAAAAAATATATATATATATATCTCATGATCCGCTGATCGGATCTTAACCAGATTAGTATGGGACCACCTCTGAGACACTACCTTTCCGTGGTCCAAAGTTATGCGGTAACATACATAAAAAAAAAATATTCCGACGAACTGATAACCTCCACCTTTTTTGGAAGTCGGTTAAAAAAAAAAAAAATGAATTTCCGAAATCAAAAGAGCATGTCCAATTTAATGAATCTGCATCAAAATCCCCAAAATCGTGTCTTTGCACGCACATTCGACATCCGTTTTCTGAAACTAAAGCACGGTCTGAAATGTCTATTGTATGAATCCATACTGAGCTGCGTCTTTATTCTATACATATGTATATGTATGTATGTACATCTGCATGCATATTAATTTATGCGTTTAGTACATGTGCATGTATATATGTACATACATATGTGAATTATAGTCTATATAGTCTATCTTTTAACTCAACCAATTACGCGTATTAATTTAAAAATATAAATCTAATTCTTGTAGTCTATTAAAATAACAAAGCTAATGCACGTTTTTCTCTGAGTTTTAACACGCACCGCGGCAACGTAACAGAAACACGCT